CCATTAAGAAATACACGAGATATAAAATATCCAATTTTTATTGAAGTTCTTCCAATTTTTTTTTCTTCTCACCAAAAGTACGGAAACTTTATTTAATACAAAAAAACTTACTTAACTTTTATGGATTTTTCAAATCTTACACGCTGATAGATCTTTACAACTTATAGTTAGGTGTCAAATTTGGTCTAAATATAAGCCACGTGTGCAAAGTTATTAAAAAAACGCTCAATTTTGACCAACATTTTTGCGCACGCTTACACAAAAAGTCACGTGAGCTATCGGTCTAAGATTTTTTCTGCAACTTCACCTAAGAATAAAAGTGGAGAGTTTTTAGTTTTTTGTCATTCGGATTAAAGACGGCTGATTTAGAGCAGCAAATATATTAAAATGAAAGCACATGCAGATATATAAGTATTGGTTAGGCCAAGCAAACTAGATTAGCAGTTTCTAGCTCCAGTTTTCAAAAGAATCATACGGGTGGACGGACGGTTATTATTGATTATTCATTACCAACTTTTAAGCATACATTTACTAAATTTTATGAAATTATCCTAAATAAAGAGCGTTTAGCGTCACGTGATATTAGCTTAAACAATTAGTGTAAATAATGATGCTTGATAGGGCTGTACCGAGTGCATGTGGATGATGACAAGAAACTGTTAATCTAGAATCAATGGTGTTACTATAAAGGAAGTTATTAACACTGTTTCAGAAAGGAAAAGTGCCACCATATATTTTAAAGCATCTGGCTGGTCTGTAAAGTATAGGTCTGTTCCGAATAATAGGGTTGCTATCCTGAAGCTAATGTTGGTTACTATCAAGTGTCACTTTCTTACTTGCTGTGGTTTGTTGGTGTGAATTGATAAAAAGTCATGAAATCTAATTAAAAACACTTTAGGTGTGAAAAAAAGGTGCGGCCAAAAAAAGATTGAGTGTGCGGCTTAAAGAAATTAAATCAAAATTGGCGGCCAAACTAGAAGCTACACTTATAGCATTGATAAGAATTTTACAGGAAATATTCATTGATTAGTTAGCCAGGCTGCGTATTTTGTTTTACCCACATCATGCCCCAAGTTGAACAAAAAACTCTTTCTGGTCTATTTCTATCTTTGTTTTATCTTTATAAAGTTGGGTATTCTATCTTTGTTTTATCTTTATAAAGTTGGGTATAGAACGATACCCAACTTTATAAAGATAAAACAAAGATAGAATACCCAACTTTATAAAGATAAAACAAAGATAGAATACCCAACATTATAAAGATAAAACAAAGATAGAATACCCAACTTTATAAAGATAAAACAAAGATAGAATACCCAACTTTATAAAAATAAAACAAAGATAGAAGTCTATTTCTATCTTTGTTTTATCTTTGTAATGTTGGGTATCGTTCTAGTCTATTTCTATCTTTGTTTTATCTTTGTAATGTTGGGTATTCTATCTTTGTTTTATCTTTATAATGTTGGGTATTCTATCTTTGTTTTATCTTTATAAAGTTGGGTATCGTTCTGGTCTATTTCTATCTTTGTTTTATCTTTGTAATGTTGGGTATTCTATCTTTGTTTTATCTTTATAATATTGGGTATTCTATCTTTGTTTTATCTTTATAAAGTTGGGTATCGTTCTGATCTATTTCTGTCTTTGTTTTATCTTTATAAAGTTGGGTATTCTATCTTTGTTTTATCTTTATAATGTTGGGTATTCTATCTTTGTTTTATCTTTATAAAGTTGGGTAACATTTAGGTCTATTTCAACATAAGGCTAATCTTTCATAAGCTGGTTAGTATTTTGGTCTATTTTAAACATTGTGTTTTCACTGCTACTAACATCTTGAGTAGCATACGTATCACGCAAGATATACAAAATGAATACGAAATTCGACACTATTTTTTTAGTTATTTCAGTTGACGTCATGAGAGTGAATAAATTATTACCTCGAACATGTTTCTAATAAGAACATGCAAACAATGTATGAAACTGGTGCACAGTTGTTTCTTTCTCACAGGACTTTGAACTGTAATGTAATTGAAGGATAAGGTATTACGTACAGTCAGCAAATCGATAAGCGACTCGAAAAACTTAGTAAGATGGCAGGGGAGACGGGGGTTGAATGGATCTTCAAAGGGCGTGTCTTACGTTTTATTATATTAATTATTTACATTACAATGAAACTGTAAAACAAAACAACACTTAAATACGTCCTAACACTTTGTCATAAAAAATTATTATGTATAGAAATAATTGCCTACACCGAAACGCAGAAACGAAAAAGACGACGTTTATGTTGTTACAAAAACCCGGTAAAAGTGTTTTAAGGTTTCTTAACCAATATATATATATATATATAAGTAAAACCCAATAATTAATTTGATATCTAAAGCAAAGAGAAGTAACACAACAACTCCTCCGTACAGCGAAGTAACACAACAACGCCTCCGTACCTTTGACATTAGAAGCAACAAAACCAAAATAAAAATTGTCGCATATAGGACCTACAAAAAAAAAAATCCGAGGGAACAAATTACAAAATATCAAACAGGTAAAATACACCTTAGTAAAAGAGATATCTACGTAAGTAGGACCCACATGGAGAAAGAGGTACACCTTCTACCAAATGTGAAATCTATCCTCACACTTCTCAAACATAACGTGACTATTGTGAGACTAGAAAGATAAACTTCGGAAGTTTGTCTGTTTGTTCTAGAGCAAAGCCACTTTGGGCTATCTGATGTTTTCACCGAGGGAATCGAACCTCTTACTGGAGTACGCTTTACGTATCACAGATTGTAGTTACTATCCTGGTTTCACCATGGCAGTTCAAGGCCTAGTTCTTCAGTTACCTCTTACTGGAGTACACTTTACGTATCCCAGATTGTAGCTACTATCTTGGTCTCCCATGGCAGTTCAAGGCCTAGTTCTTCAGTTACCTTTTACTGGAGTACAC